ACATTAAAGGGATAATCCAACTAAAAATGGAAATTCTGTCATTATTTTAATGCTGATTTATTGCTGACTGAGTACCTAATATTGTATATATAAAGTATAGAATGCCATGCCAATCTGATGGGTTTAATTCTTAGGCAATATGCAAACAGATAGAATGTATACATAGAATGCAAAGTGAATGTAAGTTACATTAAATAAAAACTTCTGCCAAATGTAAATGAGAGGCAAAAAATGACTGTTCAATGTCTGTGATAAGAATTTCAAGAATATTTTAGACCATTGGCCCCTATGGTTCCGTTAGTTTCTTGGGTAAGTGTGTGTTTGTTATTTGAATTTGTGTGAAAATGCTTCAGCAGGATAAGCAATACACTAACCACCCATACATATAAAATAAACTTTCTCAGTCTCTTGCTGGCTGACACTCACTGTGCATGCATTCACAGACTCCCTCATACTGTTGTCATGGAGTAGATTACAGCCACATTAATAATGCTATATACATTGTTTACACATACAGTCGTACGTAGGGCTGCACAATTAATCGAATTTCTAATCGCAATTACAATTATGGATGCCACAATTACGTAATCGTTCAAAGCGGCAATTAATCGTTCAAAGTCGCCTTATGTTATTCTGCATGCTTAAGATATGTTTTTTTCTTTCTACGTTATCTTAAGGGTTTTTCCATTGTTTTAGTTTTAGTATAACATTATAATACCATTCATATTTTAACTTTTTTTATAATTTAAAGAAGAAACCAACCCGATGTATATTTGACATTTGAGGCTTAATACTATAGAAAAGCACTAAAGGTTTTTCAGATAGAGGGTTTTCAGCTTGTTTATTTTCATATAAAATATGGCATGCAGTTGCATCAAACAATGGTATAAACATCATTCAATGTAAATTGTGATAATAGTAATTAATAATCGCAATTACAATTTCAAGGGAATAATCGACAATTATGATTTTTGTCATAATCGTGCAGCCCTAAGTCGTAGCCAACAAAGGTCTAGCCTTCTCTCTCACACATACCAGCATATACAGCTGGAGAAAGCTCTCACACACGCATATAGTCTAATCAGAGGCAGATGTTCAGCATATGAGGTTAGCTAAGGCTCAGATGAAAGGGAGGGAAAGATCTCTGTGAGTTGGTTCAGCATGTGGTCCAGCGTCTCTGTCATGTGGTCTCAGGGCATGAGGTGCGGTCTGGATAACCAAGCACGGTCTAGAATCCTTGGTTTTTTAATGGTCATGTTTTTGATGTTCATCTGAATCACTTGGCTCAGTGTTTACCCTTGAGTTACAATGTATGACCCCATAGAGGTGTGTGATACAGCGGGTTCATTTGTTCTGTTGTCAGAGACAATCAAGTCAGACATACGGCTTTTCCTCCATAGTTTTATAGTTAATTTGGGTCAACATTCAAGTCATTTATTTTATGCATAGGCAGTGAAATGCTTTTTCTTGTGATTTGATTTGATCTTCTATTTATTGTGTCTTCTGATATTTTCCACATTGCAATGCTGTAGGCAGAAGCCATGTTATGTGTTGTTCCCAACACAGCTGCATTAGCTCAACCAGCGACATGAGTTCGAGACAGAGCTTTCTGTTTATCGACCAATAATAGTCATTATTTTTGCTATTCCAGTTGGTGATGGTAGTGTCACCGAAATTACATGCTACACATTTTAAGTGATCAAAACTCTTTGGAGTCTTTTAAAATTGTGTAACCACACCTGCCAAAGGAGTTTAAGGAACCATTTTAACTGTTTGTATAAGTTCTCCTTTTCTCTTGCATTCAGGGGATGTCTTTAGCAGAACTTAAGAGGTTAAATGTTTTGAAAAAGTTTTTTTTTTTCCAGTTTCACTGAGCTGAAGGGAACAGCACTGAGGGAACTTATACTGAACTGAATGGAAATCCCTTAGTTAAAGCAGCATTTTATTTGCTGTCATTTTCCTGGCAGCTGGTGTTTCATTGTAAATCCACCGCTGTACATGTTTAAACATGGACGTCACGTTAGCACATATAAATCTCTGCTGGAGTGTTTAAACTCAGCAGTAATCTGTCTGAGAAGGATGTGGGCTGCCAAAAACGCAGATAGGAGGCTTAATCCCAATGAATGATGACTAGGAATGTGTTGCTTTTTAACCTTCATGGAAGTTTCAGCAATTTGATACAAATTAATGTTTTAAAATAACCTGAGAACACGTGAACAGATGAAACCCAAACCTTGCATACTGCATAAACTTAAATAATTACGCTACAGTTCAAAAGTATTTTTTTAATTAATACTTTTATTCAGCAGTGATGAGTTAAATTGATCAAAAGTGACATTAAAGACATTTGTAATGTTACAAAAGGTTTCTATTTCAAATAAATGCTGTTCAATTGAACTTTATATTTAAAAAATTTATCATGAAGTTGTTTTGTGACTTGCAGGCTACAGAATCTCATCAAAAATTGTAAAACTGACAATGGGCAATTGGACAATATTTAGTACTACTACAGTACTTTTTTTTCATACTAGACATCCTGCTATAAATAATTATGCAATGTAACAATATATCTGATAAAATACAGAGAATGTTTATGATTAAATGTTATGTTTTTTAACCAGTAGGCCTATAGTCTGTTAAAAGTGTGGCAGCTCTTTTTTAAAGTTTCCTGCTGGCTATGGTTCTCTCTTTTTATCGGCCTGAACATCTTTTGCTTTGTGGGACAGTAATTGTAGTTAAGTGGCTGGTTTATGGTGTGCTGAGGGTTTGACTTCAGTGTTTGTTGGTTGAACGAACGGCCATTGTACCACAGGAGGGGTCCATATGTGGACAAATGTATTATGCAAGTGGCAGTGATGAGAATGGTATCGCTCATAGATACTACCATGGACACTTGAGACATATGGATACACACCCAGAACAGATACCCTTCAGCTTCATGAAAGCAGGTTAGCATTAGCTGTGGTGTCACGGTGACGCTGGGGCAACAGCCAAACAGGAAGACACTCTGTGTGTGTGTGTGTGTGTGTGTGTGTGTGTGTGTGTGTGTGTGTGTGTGTGTGTGTGTAGTTTAAGATCCTGAACGTGCCGCTGTCGTCTCATCTGGCGGCGAATCACTTCAACCAGCAGCAGGCGGAGCAGGAGGAGCGCATGCGCATGAAGAAGCTGACGCTGGACATCAACGAGCGGCAGGAGCAGGAGGACTATCAGGGTGAGCGCTGACGCTGCTTTCTCAGGCCCTGTCTACACTGCTGCAGGTCCTCGTCTACACTGCGTTTCAAAAA